ATGATCAGGGGGCAGCAGGGCAGGCCCTATGAGGAGAGGCTACGGGACCTGAACCTGTTCAGCCTCCACAAGAGAAGGCTGAGGGGGGATCTAGTGGCCTGTTACAAACTAGTCAGGGGGGATCAGCAGACACTGGGGAAGTCCCTGTTCCCCCGAGCGTTGCCAGGAATAACTGTCACAAGCTGGTAGAGGGTAGATTTAGGCTAGATATCAGGAGGCGCTACTTCACGGTCAGGGCGGCTAGGATCTGGAACCAACTTCCAAGAGAAGTGGTGCTGGCTCCTACCCTGGGGTCTTTAAGAGGAGGCTGGATGAACACCTTGCTGGAGTGGTTTGACCCCAGTACTCTTTTCTGCCATGGCAGAGGGTCGGACTAGATGATCTACTCAGGTCCCTTCCGACCCTAGAAACTATGAAACTATGAACACATTTCAGACTTGCAGTGGCAGTGTGCTCAAGCAAGGCTGTTGTGCAGTATGGAAGGACTGAGCCTCTACCCTACATAACTGAACCAAATTTTAATGTGGGAAGCAAGATTTATTTAGTAATTTCTTTTGTTGAACCAACTACATACTTGGGAGAAGAATGAGACAAGTTTCCTGGAACAAAATGCCCTTCCTCAGGTTGTATTATAATTGCATTGTAACCAGCACCAGCTCCACACAATGGGCCTGATTTCATTCTGTTAACCAGGCAAGCGTGATCCTGTCCCATCCTGTTTAAAGCCCTACTTTTGTGACATGCCATTGTCTTAGCCTTAATTCTTTGTCTCACAAAGCAGCAAGATGATGCATGGACCTTTTGTGTTAAACTGTTTTGCAGGCAGTTAAGCAGGGTGGGAAAGGATCCTATTTCTGCCTAAAAGATGGAACAGGATCCGGCTCAATATTTGCACAGTATAGAAGATATTCAATAGAACAGTTGTTGCAAGAAGTTACTCATCCACTTTACAATCACTAGGTTATTTGTGTTCTAGCTCAAGGGTGGCCAACCTGTGGGCAGCCTCTGTGTGGCAGATCAGGGAGGGGGCAAGGAAGCAGAGCAGATTTGCAGGGAGCAGTTTGAGAAGGGGATCAGAGTGGCGCTTGGGGAGGGTGCTAATTTGTGGCACACTGCACTGCTTTAAGTGCTGCTTTGATGTGATTATACAAGGACTTTATTGGAGGACATTCCAAATACAATGGCAGCTTTCTCTCTGTAGGACACTGTATGCAAAATAGGCACAAACCAATTCACATTTTCCATGTTATATCACCACTTGTCCTCAGCAAGCCACCTTTGGGCAATCTGTACAGATGCACTTGAGCTGATTTGTGCCAGCAAGATAACCCAACAGCAAGTACAGTACAGAGAGAAACCAAAACATCTGGACTTATTTGTAATGCTCTTGTAATTTACATTGCACTCCACTTTCAAAATGCTCCATGGACCCCAGACAAGGTTCTTTGGGTGAATCTGGTATCTTTTATTAGACCAACTTAAATAGTTGGGAAAAAAGCTGATCCTGAGTAGAATCTGGTGAAGAATTATCTCCAATTTGGCACAGGAGGATTGTCATCAAGTCACTTTTTTGCAATACAATGCAATAGCCACTAGATAAGAATTACTTGGCTGTAAGACACCTACACTGTCCAGTGACCTTCTGCCTACCTATAAAATATATGAATGCAGCATCAGTTATGACTAGGCAGGTTAATCTTTCACCTAAGTTACCGAATGCCTTGCACATGATTTTCAGCCAGCAGTTGGAAATCTTATAGAGTCATCTTAAACTGAGAATAAGGGTGGGGTTTGCAATTCAGGTTTGGAAATAAAAAGCCTGAGGTCTGTTGCTTAGGCACGAATTTATAATAACCGCCCAACAGGATCCTCTTTGACTCTAAAAAGGCCACAAATCCCTATCTGAAAGGAAGGAAATGTTGAACCGTGCCAGAGTCTCTTGTGGGCATCTGTGGTGGGTCTGCTCCGCTGCCAGCTAGAGAGGGGAGCTGATCTCGGTGGAAGTCCGGGGAGGAAAACCCTGAATGATACCGCGAGACCAGCTTCAAACTCCTACTAACACCTACTATTATTTTGCTGGGAGACAAATCTCAAGGAAAAATAACCAAAAAGCCCTGTCACTTTCGAACAGATGTTAAACGGGGGAGGGGGGGGGGCGCTCAGCCTGCAGCCGCGGGGCGGCCTGCACGAGCCCGGGGAAGGGAAACGCCGCGTCGTTGCCCCGCGGCAGCGCTCGCCCGGGCTGCACCTGGGTTTCGTGAGGGCCCCCTGCCCCGTGCCGGCCCGCGGGCTCCTCTCCCGGCCCCTCACCTGGAGGCGGGCGCGCCTCACGTTGGACAAGGTCAGGACGCGGTTGGGGCCGCCGCGCCGGTAGTTGATGCAGGCGCGGGCCACGCCGGCCGCCCGCTGCGCGGGGTAATGGCTCGGCTCTAGCTCCATGGGATGCGACGCGACGCGACTAGCAGGCAGAGCCGGGCAGGAAGAAGCAGGAAGTGGCGGCGGGCGGGTGCGGTCTCTGCCGCCCCACCCCGGCCGGGCGTCGGGAGGGGCCCGTGTGACCGAGGCCG